CTAGGGAAAAATGAGGAAACAAGCAACAGGACAAATAAGAGAAGGAATTTAAAAAAAAAAGAATGAGGACGAAAGGGACAGAAAGACAGGGAGCTGGGCAGAGCAGAGGAGACTGGGGCTCAGATAATTAATACACTATTTCAGAAGCTTCTTCCAGAAAGACATCTCACCTCTCTGAGGAGGGCAAGTCTGTGCTGCCCCAGTATGAGACTGGACAGCACTGGATTAGGACAAGCCATCCCTACACAGTCTGTGCTACCTCCTGAACCAAAAGTCACATAGTCCACTGATATGGCACTTCTCATGCCACTTAAGCCTGCTGAGAGGCAGAGCCTATGCCATGTCCACAGCACTACATGCAGCCAGCTATACTGATTCTGGTTCAGGAAGCAGCAGGTGCAGAGCAAGTGCAGTGCGTCACAATACAGCACTGCCCGGCACCATATTGCTGTGGCACAGACATACCTGTCGGATTTATCTTGGGCATGTTTATTGCTGTGCACAGTTCTCTGCATGGCAGCCAGTCCTGCCATGACAACACTCCAAATGCCAGCTGTCAAGTGCACTTCACACTTCTGTTTCTATAACATTAGCCTCTTAGCAGTTAACAGTACTCTGTGGAGCCAAAGTTTTCATATTTGTTCAATTTCTAGTTAGCATCCATCAGTTTTGAAATTATGTGGGGAGGCTGTAATGTAATTTTATATGATAGGAAAAAATTAATTTTGCAATTAAGTTCTGCCCAGAATAAATAGATTGCTCCCAAGACATATTGGTTAAATTAGTGCCTGCTGGCTCAAACTGACAGCATTTGTCTGATGGAACAGTGCTTTCTTAAGTAGCTGAGGTGGTTCAACATATCCTTCATGTGATTTTTTTTCTGGATTAAGCTTAAATAGAAGCTGAAGGCACAAATGAAAATACCAGCTAGAATTGCTTTCCTTGATTACCACTAAATAAGTGGCAGGTGCTTCTTCCATTTCTTTTTCAGGAAATTCTTTCTTAACTCAAATTTGCCAGCCAGGGTATGTACAGCATTACCACCACTGGAAGCTGTGCCTGGCATTGGGTACCTAGGAGCAGGATCCCAGGAGAGAGACCCACAGCAGTAAAAGGCAAGGGAAAGGAGGAAAACCCCCAAGACACAGACTGAGGTTATGGTGCTCGAGAGCATCTAACTGAGTCCAGGAACACTGAGGTTCCAAGTACTTCATGTCCTTTATTACTGTTTCACCACTGAGTTTATTGAACTGTTTGAAGATCGGACTGATCTTGTAAAAAGTACTGTCCCAAGGTTCTTGGGCAAGCCTGACCATTTGTCAGGTAGTAGAGGACTTATTTTGATTATCACGCATTTCCATTTTTGTTTATTCTTGGGAACATCTGGTTCTCGAGTGGACAGGGTAAAGTGGAGGGAGGAGCCCTGAAAAGGTGACTTACGGTCCCACAGGTGTAGCCCCAGAACCACCGGAAGCCGCCTGCTCAACTAATAACAACAAGATGTGGGAGGTGAGAACAGAAGGGCGATGCATAAACATGGATACCAGTGAAGTGCTAAGCGTTGATACCAGGGGAGGCAGAAAATAGGATAGGCCTGGTATATATCAACACTCAACCTCTCCCGCGGATATTTGCAGATCCCAATGGCAGCAGAGGATCAAGCCAAAATCGCTTCTGGGACGCCGTGGGGCCTCTACGAATTCCGTTGAATGTCTTTTGGATTGCCTGGGGCAGCTGCTACCTTTCAGAGATTAATTAATCAAGCCTTAGCCCCACACATGCAGGATGCATCAGCGTACATCCCTGACATTTTGTCATATATACCAAAACATGGGGACAACATTGAAGAGCCTTGAAGGCCGTGCTAAGTGAATTAAGAGCTGCAGGGCTGACAGCCTCCCTGCACAAATGCACAACTGCAAAAAGAGAAGCTAAGTATTTAGGGCTCTTGGTGGGACACGGGACTATTAGACCTCTTGCCGACAAGTTCCGAGTCATATGGGACTTTGTACCCCCAAAACAAAACAAAAAACTATGTGAGGTCTTTTTTAGGACTCGCTAATTATCATCGACAATTTGTGCCCCGCTTCACGGAGTTGGCAGCTCCTTTACCTGATGCCATCGAGGGGGGCATAAAGGGCACTATAAAATGGAATCCTACCATGAGTGAGGCCTTCATGAAAATAAAAAAGGCCCTTTGTCTTGATATGTTAGTGCATACTCCTAACTTTGCAAAGCCGTTCACTCTGCAGACAGACGCTTCAGACACCGCTACAGGAGCCATCCTGACACAAGACCATGTGGGTATAGAATGTCCTGTGGCTTATGCTAGCCAAAAACTAAACAAGGCTGAAAAAAGGTATGCTACAATTGAACGGGAATGCCTGGCGATAAAATGGGGCATCAAACATTTCCAGTACCACTTAATGGAGCAGGAGTTCCGCCTTGTAACAGATCACGCTCCGCTGAAATGGCTGAGCCAAAGCAAAACGGATAATGCCCGCATAGCACGGTGGGCACTGGTGCTAGAGACCTTTAAATTCATCACTGACTATAGGCCAGGAGTTGATAATAAGGTAGCTGATTTTTTAGTCGAGGTATGGAAACGATGCAAGTGACACCAATGCAGTGAGTTCAGATGATGACGAACAAGCTAAGACGACGAAACAGGAAAGTAAGGATGCAGGTACGCCAAACGGCAACTTGGATTGGGGGTGGGGAGGAAAGAAAGTGTGCGAGCGTGCTTCTCCGTGTCCTGAAGAATGCATAATGGCCTCAGTCACACTTTAGGAGCGTGTGCTTAGTGTGCGTAGGTGGGTACCCGGCAGCTTCTGGTATAACTGGGAATCACCCACCGGCAGCACCAGGAAAGCCGGCACACTGGGGAGAGCCGGCAGCAGGGGAAGTTGGCTCGGCCGCAGGAGCTGGCTTGCCAGAGTGAGCTGGCCACACAGAGAGAGCCGGAGGAGACCACTGGAAGCCCGGACACTTGGAGGGGAGTGCCCGGTCTTGGGTGCCTAGGAGCTGGATCCCAGGAGAGAGACCCACGCAGTAAAAGGCAAGGGAAAGAAGGAAACCCGCCCCCCTCCCCCCAAAGACAGAGACTGAGGTTATGGTGCTTGAGGACATCTAACTGTGAGGCCAGGAACACTGAGGTTCCAAGTACTTTATGTTCTTTATTATTGTTTCACCATTGAACTTACTGAACTGTTTGAAGATCGGACTGATCTTGTATAAAGTACTGTCCCAAGGTCCTTGGGCAAGCCTGACCATTTGTCAGGTAGCAGAGGACTTTGATTTTCATACATTTCCATTTTTGTTTATGCTTGGGAACATCTGGCTGGCCAGTGGATGGGGTAAGGGGGAGGCAGGAGCCCTGAGAAGGCGACTTATGGTCCCACAGGTGTAGCCCCAGAACCATCGGCAGCCTTCTGCTCAACTAATAACAAGATGTGGCATGTGAGAACAGAAGGGCGATGCAGAAGTCTGGATACCAGTTAAGTGCTACTGGTCATCAGAGAAGGCCCCATAGCTAGAGAGCTTTGACTCTTGCACCTGTAGGTATTGGATGCATTTGAGGCATCAGATACATTGATTTTCATAAAATTAGGATTAGGAACATGGATAGTGAGGGAACCCAAAATGAACAGGATCTTCAAGCAGTCATTCACTTTAGTTAGGTTAATTTTTCCCCAAAGGAAGAGAAGCAGTACTTGCCATCTATTTAAGCCATTTACTAATTACTTGATTAATGTAGCTAACTTAATCTTAACTAAGTTTTTAATTTCCTTAGGGAACCGGATGCCAAGGTATTTGAATGCCCCCCTAAAGGGATCACTTAGAGCTACTTCTAATGAGACCTTCATGGCTTCTGATGTATCTGAATTTATCTTGGAGCCCGAGACTTTGTTGTTACTTTTTGAATATTTGGAAGAGAATGTTTTGGGCTGGTCAAAGTACCATCATCTTACATAAAAGAATTTCTGTCTTCTAAATCCCTGTAGTGAATGGTATGGCATCCATAATTAACATGAGAGTGTTTCTAATGCTAAACTGAACAGGAGGAGAATCGTACCAAAACGGGAAGAAGTGTGGGGGGGGATAATATATTACTATTTGCTTGGAACGTGGCTTGGAATTGGAATAAAGCAGCTTATTAAGCCTTGAACTAGGGGAATTGTACAGTTCTTAGAATCATAGAATCAATGAGTCGGAAGAGACCTAGAGAGATCATCTAGTCCGACCCCCTGCTGAACCGGGTTAATGATTCTACTGGAAATGCACAAGTCCAACAGAATCTACATCTTTCAGCCAAAAGTGTTCTGTTAGTTCTGAATACAAGAGCAGTAAAAAGTCAGTAACTGTAATTCAATATCAAAGGGAACAGGTCTGCTGATTATGCAAAAGATGTAGGCTGAAACACTTGGGCTACTGAAATCTGTGGGAATTCTCCCACTGCTTCAATGGAGCCAGGTTTTCATTCAGTCTGTTTTTCTGGCCATAACTTCAATTGAATATTAGAAGTGTAATATTAGAAGTCCGACTTAACCTAATGTACAAGCTATTATAAGTATTTGGATGACAGCACTTTAGAAATCTGCAGGTCTGAGTGCTCAGAGGTATGCTTATTGAGACATCGTTCTAAGACTAATATAAACATACTAAATACATTTTCAAATTGCCATACCTCTGGCAATTTAAAACTAAAAGTCTTCAACTGAACATATTCCTCTTTTAGGACTACAAGGTTAATATACAAACATGGAAATGCATCAGTAACATTTCTTAGATAAAATGCATTTCCCACCATGTTTAATTAACTCTAAAACAGCCCAAAGTTCTCACAATATTCCAAAAAATGCCTTTGGACTGAGATTTAATAGGAAAAGTTGCAGTCCAAAAAGCTTCTGGGGAAAGCAATACACAACAGAAAATATGGACTACCACAATGGCTAGTTATTCTGGATAAAAGCCTAGATCTTTGGAGGATATATTATTACCTGTGTGGTAAGCTGGTACTGCAGATGCTCTAAGGCTGACAGTCGGCACTGTGCTGCTTTTGCTAGCTCTTTAGGATACAGACCACTGGAGACTGTGTGAACTGAGCCCTGCTCAGAGCTAATGCAATGCCAAAATCCTAAAAAGATGAGAAAACAAACAAGAAAGGAATTTTCTACACTGTAATTCGAATGGCTTTTCTAAACTATAAGTAGTTCCTTTTCTGCAGGTGCTTCTAGCAGCCATAAATGAACTACAGAACATGACAGCCTCGCACTGCACATAATATACACAGCTGTGTAGGAGCTAGCCTGGAAAGGTCTCTTCCTATTAGTGACCTGTTTCTCTGGACCTCTGCCAGAGCAATTGTTTCATGGAATTCAAATCTTTGCAATAAAATGTTCTCACATGACTTCTGTTTTTGATCTCAAGCTTATTCCACAGTAAGTTTATTCTGCTTTCTTTTCCTCTTCCATGAGAAATAAGGGTTTGTTTCCAGAAATGAATTACCCCATTTATAAATTTAAATAAAAAGGCTTTTTGCGTTTTCCACACTGGCACAAGGGTGTCCTTTACTGAAGACTTCCATATACAAGAATTATTGCCCAACTGACTTTTACATCAAGTTTGATCCCTCCACCCTCCACACTGGGGATAAACTTGCTCTTGACCATTAGCATCTTACATTAGTCATGAACTCTTTGCCTCAGGGGTAAGCCATTTATTAATATTTAATTTCCAGAGTGGAACTTGACTCTCTCCAACTGAGGGTGAATTCATTTCCAGGCTTTACCCTTATGTCAGAACCAGGATACTTTGTCGAACCAATTTACCTTCATATGATACTGCTGCAAGTTCTGCTCGGAGCCTATTTCCCATTTCAATAAGCTGATGCTTCTCTTGGCTCAAACTAGAGATCTTTCTCACTGCTTCCTTCAGTTTATTCTGTATTACCTGTACAGAGCAACCAGCACCATGTTGGGGCACATCACCTGACCCCTTCCCAGAAAAATGTCTGAAATCTTCTATGTCTTCTCGAAGTCCCTTGATCACTGACCCCTACGAGAGAGAGAGAAACAAACACCATAAGGCATTCTTTCCATGTAAGGATTATGACAGAAATCAAGCAGCACAGATTAGACTTCAGTGAGAGCCAATCTTTTTGGTAGGCATGCCACAGATTAGCCCTAAACTCTCTCCAAGTGCCACTCCAATCCCCTTCCTCTGACTGATCTGCTGCTTTTCTTTCTGCTCCCTAGTCTGGGCTCCCTGTGCAATCTCAGGCAGCCTCTGTGTTTGGCATGTGGCAGAGACAGATCAAAGAAGGGATGGGCAGTCCAGCAGCAGATAAGCCATGAAGCAGAAGTCAAAGCAGGAGATCAGACAGGGAGCATAGCACAGAGAGCAGAAAACAAAGCAGCAGATCAGGCAGAGGAGTGTAACTTGGGGACAGTGTGCGTCCAATTTGTGGTGTGACTGCCAAAAAGGTTGGCCCTCACTCCTCTATCTGACACTGATGCCAAGACTTCCAGTATTCTTAAACTACGTTTCAACTGTAAAATACATCACTGTGCATCTGTAGCCGCAGAAGTGCTGCTATCGTTAAAGCCAAATACAGATATTATACTTTTAAGAGTATAAGTGATCAGAAACCAGCCTATACCCTTAAGAGAAAAGAGGTTTGGTGCACATATACTGGCTAAAAAATGGCAGAACCCAGTCTAAGATTTGCCCCCTCCCAACCAAAGGGCGAATATTGTTCTGTTCGCTACCAATCTAAACTATGCCACTAACAGAAAACCATGTCACTTGGATCAGTTCTGCCTCAGACTTTTGAATGTCTGTGCCTAGCCTAAATGTGAAAAGAAAGCAACTGATGTGGGTCTGTGCAGAAAGCACATTTGCACCTTGTTCCTGTGCTTTGTAGATGCTGAATATTGATACTAGGAAGACAATGCCCTTAGTCCAACACAGCTACAAGCTACACCCCCAGAATATTGATACTGTTCTTTGACACAAACTGAACTCGAGTCAGAAACTTCATTACACACTTTTCCTATGTTACCAAACATATTGTTAATGCTTCATAAATTATAAAAATGAGAAAGAGAAAGCAATCTTCTTGTTTTGTGGTGGGAACTTTGGAATTATGCGCATTACTCAGAAGACATTTCTTGGACAGCTTCCATCTACCAGGCTAGTCCTGGTCAGGTCTGCAATATACCAGGGGAGGGAAACACACCAGAAGTGGCCATATGAGTTTTATAGAATAAAACTTAACAAGTGATCCAATTTATAAACATCAAGCTGAGGGAAACTGCTGTTACTGCAGAGCCATGTTCTTTGGATGCGGAGTTCTAAACAGGAACGAACACAGAAATATTCCTCGTGATCAGGCTGAACAGGCTCTGTTAATTCCAAATTACACAAAACAACCTTTTTTGACTGTAGATCATAAAATGTAATAATTAATCATATCCAATGGCATAACTGAGTTAATGATCTGTGCAATATATGTCCCATTACCATTTGATAGAATCATGGTGCCCTCTAGCAATAGTGCCCTGTAGTTCAATAGAAAGATACTGATGTCTTCCAAATAGTGTACACCACAATCACACCAGTCATTGAGAGTGCAAATTGGTAAAGTCCAGTAATCCAAACCATTTAGTTATCTAAATGTAGGATCTGCCACCAATCGGTGGTGTGTAGTACAAGTGAGAGCAATAGTGACCAGAAGTTTGTTTGTGTATTGTATATATTATATAATATAAACGTACATTTAATATATGCTTCACTAGCTGAAAAATTCGATCTTTACAAATGGGTTGTGGTCCCAATCAGTTCACATAACTGACTCTCTATAAGAATTTTTTTGCAGTAAAATTTTAAATATGATCAAACTTTGTTGTGGTAGTTCAGTTGCATTGCAAATATTTCACACACAGTAAGATGCCCTTTTGTGTTTCTAATATAATCTACATCAGCAGTCATTTAAAAAAAATGTTCTTCTTTAGGAAAGAAAAAATTGGGGATTTTTTTTTCTTAATATCTTTAACACACATCAACCAAGAGTCCAAAAAGCCCATTCAACCCCTGAAGAGTTAAAAGTGGACAAGTGTGCATACTTAGGACTCGAAAGATTTTTTAGTCTTCTGAAGATGAAGTTATTAACTCGTCATAAGGTATGCTGAAAACACGATGATATATAAATATACCCTATGCACCCATTTCAAAAAAAGAAACTTATATTATCTCCATTTATAGCTGTATTTGGTAAGCTAAAAATTGAGGAATTTAATGGCAGAAAACTTAAGCAAGAATCTAGACACCTATGCAAATCAGACACGAATTAAAGCAATATGGCTGGGGAAAAGAAAAAAGATGAATGCAGTTTTGAGTCGCGTACAAAAAGGCATTATACCTGATGGAACGTCCAGACAATGATCCCTCTCTCTACAGAATGTGCTAATAGCCTACATGCATCTGAAAAACAGGAAGGACCCATGTGAGGGACAGAGTGAGAGGCCAGCTAGGTTCGGGGGGGGGTGGGGGCATACAGGGCATGCCTAAACTACAAATGTACTGTGCAAGGGAGCAGCATGCTGAAACACACCATGATACTCTGCATTAATTCCTAAACTTCTGACAGCAATGCTAATTAATCCTCCTGCAATATGATGTGGACACAGCTATGCTGCTTGCAGTTCTGAAAAACATGCAAGTCTTTCTGAAGGTGGTATGTATGCTTACATGACACATTTGAGCATGCTGCTGCTTGCCCTGGTAAACCTACAGTGCAGACAGGCCCAAAGTTGGCACAAAGCTGCTTCTGGCTCCCTTTCCATCCTGTACTAAGTACTGCTTAGCCAGATGGAGAAAAATAACATGAAAACTGTATGACATACCAGTCATTACAGTTCTGGGTAGCACAAACATTTTTCATACCTTTTTTGTGTGTGGTGTTGCCACGGAGCCCAGATGAGCTACTCTGGCTTCCAGCTTCTTCAAAGCAGCTCCAGTGAAAACATCATCTGTACACAATGCACGTGAAAGTAAGAGCAAATGAAGCAAAACCAACTGTAATTTTGTACATGTTCTACAACACTGATCAAGAAATATTTATTTTGAGTATTCAAAGGCAATAATCTCAGAATCTGGTATCATCGAGAGAGACATACTTTTCGAATAAAAACAAGGGATATCACTTTGAATACAGAGTTAATATGTATGTGCGGGAGGACAACCTTCAGCTCTTATGGACAGAAGTACTGACAGTTAATAAAACACAGCATATGCTTCATGATTCATAACCATCCAACAAGCAATGACTTTGTGTAAATGTTATTAAGAGTAAATATTCTTGGGCCACTGGTATATACATGCCAAAAGTAATTGTGATTGTAAATCAAAGTGATTATGAGACAGAAATTTTACAGTCAGTGTGTCTCTGGAGAGAAAGGTAGTTAGACATGTTAGTCTGAAGTCAGGCAAACATCAGGCTAGATATACACCTTACAGACTAACTATATCACAGATGCAGAAGCAGAAGCAGATCCAGGATTTTGCAAACAGAAATGCAAGAGTGACCAGGGCTGCAAGGGTGACTGCATTCCCCACTCCCAGCCTCCTTCCCCTCCCCATACCAGGGCAAGCAGACTGTGCCACAGAAGCAGCAGATGGGGACTTTCAAGTCCCTGAAGCAGGTACAAATTCATTCCCCTTCCCCTCCCTGCTCAGAGGCATGTCTCCGCCCCTTCCCATCCTGCCCCCACCTACCATTGTTGCTGTCTCTCCTGTCCTGGGGGAAGAGGTGCTCGAGAGCTGTGCGGGGGGTAGGCTTATACTAGGACAGTGCTGGCAGGTAAACAGGTTCCCCACTCTCTGTGCTTACTCCTAGAACAGTAGGAAATAGCTGGGAGGACCAGGCAGAGAGGCGGAACCCATCCATCTGCCTCTGCCACTGTCCCAAGCTGAGCCTATCCCCCATGCAGGGCACCAGGGAGCACAGCATAGACAGAACAGCATAGAAAGCCAGGAGGCAGGGGAGGGGGGAATGGGAGGGCAGGGAACATGCCGCTAAGTACAGGGGGGAAGGGACATGGGCAATTCGTACCCTCTTCATGCAAGTCCCCAACTGCTGCTTCTGCTGCATGGTCAGAAAGGGGGTGCAGCTGTGCTACTGCACTATCTCTGGATCTACCCCTGGATCCACCCCATAAGCATTTGTAAGCAGTGGCTTACTTAAGAGAGGTGAAGCTTACCAAAGTTTCTGCATCTGCAACTTAGATGTTCTACAAGGTGCAAATCTACCCTGCCACCTCCTGGAGGGAAAATCTTTAATAAATGGTGATTAATGGTGAAACATTGTTCTTACCATTAGCTTCCCTCAAACTGTAGCTCTGCGTCTGAGTATGAACATTTCTGGTGCAACTGTACAGATCAGAGGAAGGTGCAAATGATTTTCTGGGAAACTTGGATACCTTTTCTAATTTCTCTTCCATCGCCCAGCATTTCTGCTTTAACTTTCTTGTTTCCTCTTCTAGTGACTGAATGTAATCTACAAACATAAAAAAATTATTCTAGAAAAATTCCTTGGAAAACCTGAAAAATGCATGTAAAGCATGGTAAAGCATGGCTGACCACTTCATAGGAAGCTTCCTTTTATCCAGTTAACTGACACGAGTACTGGATGCTCCCCCTTGCCTGAGAGGGAAGCAACTAAACTCCAGTGGCTCAAGCTTTATGTGCAGGAGTAGGGTATCATCACAAAGTTAGTGAAATGAGTAATGGGTAGGAATCTTTGCTTGAACTGGTTCATCATTTTGCTTCACTATCCATGTATAAAACTATTAGGTAAAATAAGAGCTTGTATCTAGTAAATATACATACACACATTTATTGGCCATTTGCTTGGAAACAGCACGGTTTAAACTACCTCTGTTAATAAGACCTCAATCAACTCGAAATGTTAGATCAGAAGGAAGAACCATTTTGGACAGGAAGCAGGGGCGTGGAGGTCCCTTTGGTCAGTCTGGTTTTTGACAGATCCAAAAAAATGGTCCCATATGAATAGGGAGCAATTTCAGGAGAAACAGAAGTTTAACATTTTAATATTAAAAATCAACAGCAACAATGTGGCAGAGGCAAATGCACATTGCAGAAGCCCGGGTTTAGAAAATTGGCAAAAAGTATTTAAAAACATGCAGTTTGCAACGAGCATTTGTAACAGGTAGCTTTAAAAGGCTTGGAACTGGTCTCATGTTCACCAAAACCTTCAAAGGCTTTTTCATTTGGGTTGGCAATTCCTTATCAAATTACAGTTGCTTTCCCTTCCCACGTTTGCCAGTTCACAAGAGTCACAAGAATGTCTCAGTAAAGAGAGAATCATATTTTTACTTTTGAGTATACAGAAAAAGAAAGAATTTTGGCACAAACCTAAAAAAGAGATACACTTCTTGGTAGAGAACAGGGCTGCAAAACTGCCATTCAAAAGGTAAAATTTTCAGAAATGGAAATAACTGGAAAATATTAACTATAGGGGTTGCTATCATCTCCCTCTGTCACATGTAGATATACTCTTAGCTCACATGTTCTTCCCTGGATCTCCTTCTAGTGACAGGTATCTTAAACATGACTATAAAAGATAATTTGAAAAGAAGAAAAAGACAAAAACATTTATTACATTATGGTTAAAATGTTTCAGTAGAAAGAGTAATTTTTAAAGGATTATTTAAATGTTATTTAAATAATTTGCTTATAACCCGTGTCATTTAGGGAAGCTGAAGGTAGGGAGATCTAAGGTAAGAGATGTCACTTCAGAGGAATGTGTGAAAAGCCATATGAAATGGTTACAATGCAGCACTTTCAACCCACTTCTCTGTATTACCAGGAGTGAATGTTACTGAAGCAGCCTCAACATCAGTGGCAGTTTGCTGTGTGCACTGCGTCTTTTCTTTCATAGAAGATGATGGTATCTGATCACTAAGGATCTCCATTTCTTTCCTCATTTCTGCTACAGCAGTCCGCAAGTTGGTGTTCTGTTGCTGTAACTTTTGTATCACAGTGGAAGGAAAATCCTTTTCAAGAACTTCTTTATCATCATAGAGAAATAACTGAAAAGCAAAAATAACACAATAGCACCATGCTATTTGCAGTAAACATGACAAAGTGCTGACATTGTCTATTTCATGTACAGCACATCAACAACCACCACCACCTGCTCAAAGATGGACAACATTATAATCATGTAAGACGAGACCAGAAAAAGAGGAACACACCAGTAAATCAGGTAACTCCACGAACTGACTGGGAGAAAAGTGCAATGGAAAAACTGCGATCAGCTCTATTACCAAAACTACAAGTTCCCTGGGTTGGGAATAGGGGCAAGCAGGAACTGAATGGTATAAACTGAATAGAGGTCCCTACACCACATTATTCTGGAGATATACTTTCAGGCTTCTCAGAAAATCCTAAGACAACTCCTAAGCACGGAGACAGCAGGGAAAAAAATCCACTACGATCAACTGCATTGCTGCTCACTAGAACTAAATAGCTGAGAGACAGCAGAAGCAGGAGAAAAATAACATTTATGTAAGCACTTAAATCAATTAAGTTATGACAATTTATACCACCAACCTTAAATGTTGGTATTAATTTAGACTTCTAAGCTTTCAAACATTTGATCGCTCTTCTTTAATGATTGAGATATTGTATTGTGTTTTATTCCTATTTTATATGCATTTACAGATTTAACCATCTTCATGTAATATCAAAGGATCAAAGGAAAGTAGGGATGGATGGGACCTCACAAGGCCATCTAGACCAGCTCCCTGCTCAAGACTGGAATCTTCCTGACTAAACCCAAGTGTCTGTCTAGCCTGCTTTTGAAAAGTTTCCAAGCATGGAGATTCAACAACTTCTCTAGACAGACTCTTCCAATGCTTGACCACCCTTGGAGTCAAAAGTTCCTTCTAAACTCCAGCTTAGAAAAAGGCTCTAGAAACATTTTTACCTGGTTAAGACTGTTTTTTTAAATAAAACAAAGATCTGTTTGTGCATGTATTCAGGGAGGGCACCATTTTCCTAGTTAAGTTGTAATGACTGTCCACTAGGGTGCACCACAATACTTCTCTTACCTTTGTCCTTCAGAAATACCCTTGCTGAATACATTATTACTACCAAAATCTTACACAGATAATAAACCACTAGTCCTTCTATTATACAGTATATAGGAGAAATCTTCTGTCCAGTCCATTTCTCATATTTTTTAAACCATTGAAAAGTACTTAAATCTGAAGCAGGGATCATAATTACAGATCTGAGGTACTGAAAGTTATATAGAGCCAGAGAGTACTGTTTGGATATTCAACTAGGCTTGAGTTACACCTTCTTGCCCTACTGCTCTGTCATATTTTACACACAAAAATGTGTGCATACAAAAATAAATTAACAAAACCCTAAGATTACTTCACAAGTTAGGTGTGTTTTGGTTGTTTTATTAGAGAGATTTCTATTGGAAGTATGCTTCGGACTTCAGTAAAGGCACACAAGGAAGAAATGCTAGGATATTAATCCCCGTGTTTCTCCATATTCCAACCTAACAGTCTACTTTTCTTGTCCCTCAAAATTCTAGCCATGTGACAGAATCATCACCTAGTGGTCTTTGGTGTCAGATTAACTTTAATATGTATACTATGATTTTAACAGACTGCTGTAAAACTCCTTCTATTGCCGCCTCCACCTCTTACAGCAGTCCGAAGGACATTTTCCTCCAGAAAATTATGAGATTTTCTACTGCCTCAGTCTGGGATTCTAGACTGCTTCCCAAATTCTTATTTATTCATTCATAGGCGACATAATTATGTCCAGTACCACTGAGTTCAATATTTAGTTCTGTTGTACTGAGTATGTGAACACCGTAATATTCAAACAAGGAGCCAAGTCTCTGTTTGCAGACAGTTTGTGCCTGCTTTCTATTTCTGGACATAGAGTCAAGAGTTAGAGCCAAGTACTTATAGACTACAATCTTCAAGGACATAAAGCAGCAAATACAAGGCCAGCCATGCTGCAATATTAATATGGCACTAAAAATACAGGATATAGAAAGGGCCAGGAAAGAGGCAACCAACTCATCTGTACTCACACACTGCAAAACCACATTACTGCCTAAAGATGTACCAACTGTGATCTGCTTATCTAGCTAACTGCAGAAGTCTGCACTTCCCCCCCAACCCCTGCCCTTCCAAAGAAGTGATTCAGGGAAAACTCAGAGGAACCTCCTTCCATATGACAAAGTGACAAACTCTTGCCTAAAACCCACTGTACTTTGGCATATTTGCAACTGAATTTTAGGTTCCTATCTTAGTGTTCCCCAACTGAGAAGTAGCATTAAAATGACAACTGTTTATGGGAGAGAGTAAATATAAGCTATTAAAATAACAGCCTGTATTCTGTGGTAGCACACGGATGTGCCTTCAGCACACTGATGGGCAGGCCAACTCAGCACACCTATGGCCACCTAAAGCACACCTATGGCCAGGCCAACTACAGTTCTTTCTCTGCTCCAGGGAAGGAGCCAGTTACAGCACATCCTTTCTTGCAGGAGATAAATTACTGTTCCATACCAGCACGCCCTTTTGGTCTGCAGATGGGTGGCTGTGGCAAACCTCTGCTCATAGCAGGAAGTAATGGGAAAGTCACTGCTACTTTCTCCCCAGGGGCCAGTCACAATCTGAGCAGCAGCGTGCAGGGGAAGGAGGACAGGCCCACAGCATGAGACCTGTAACACCCATCACAGTTGTTCCAGACTGACAATGCTGCACCTTGAATTATTAGGCAACTGATTAACTTGAAGTACAACAACAGTCTACTGAAGACAAGCCCAACAAGGTTGCATGCCTCAGCACGGATCCATCTAAGGCAAGACATTCAGCACTGTCTAACCTGTTTCTGTTCTTCAGGCGTCACATCATGTTTCCTAAGTGCCTGGACTGCTTGGTCTCTTTCCAATGTCACAGCAGACAGGACCGTCTCCATTTCATGCAGCTTGTGTTCTGTCTTTTGTAGCTTAGCTGTAACCTATAAAAGCAAAGCAAAACAAAGCAAAATCAGTGTCTCATGTACAGACAGCTCACATGGTGGTTCTGAGACTCTGAAACCTGCTCTCACTCCAAACCCAAAAAATCCGATTTTGAAGACTTTTGGGGCATAACTAGCAACAGGTTTAACCGGGTTTGGGGAAGCACTGAGGGTGTGCTTCCCACGGTGAGTGGGGGCAGGGAGGAGTCTCTGTAGGTGGTTGGTTTGCTGAGTTCCTGTTGGAATGATCACTTTAATGCTACTAGGATTTAAGTTACTGCATTATTAATGATATGAAAGCACCAAGAACCCTGGATAGGCACCTCAGCATTGACCAACCTTGACACTCAGCTTGATGTCACTTCTCACTTTGCGTGCCTGCCTGAAACTTGATATTTTTTGAACATTTTGTTAAAACAGTATCAAAATATCAGGGATTTTTTTTCAGGGGGCAAATTCCTATTGATTGTGGGGAAAACCCAACAGGAAAAAAAAGGGTAACACAAGGAGCCCCTGCTATCTATTTAGCAGACCCGTAGCCTTAAGCCTCCTGTCAGTGTTTAGAGAGCAAAGAATGGCTTGATAGTACCCTCTAAGACAGCAGCAGGCAATTATTTTGGATGGGGGGCCACTTTGTGAGTTTTGATGAGCTATTGCAAGGGTTGACCCACCCCTTGACAGGTGCCCTGCCCCTGGTCACCACCTTGGGACCGGAAATCCTGCCCTCCAACCCCTGACATCTGCCACCAGAAGTCCCTCCCCTTGCCCCCAGAAGTACTCCTTTTGGGAAGGGAGTTTGCCATCTTGGAACTGGAAAAAAAAAATTATATACTAAACTTCAAGCACTGACAATAACATTTAAATTTTATTTTAAAAACTATTTTTGTCCTGATTTGTGTGTTTGTGTGGTGTATATAGAAATGACTGCATAATACCTCAAAATGAGTTATACTGGGGGGGGGGAAGGGGGGGCCTGTGGGTATGCGCGGATGTGGGGGTGTTTGTGGGGATGTGTGGGGGCAAGTATGGGGTTTGTGGGGTGTGCGTGCATAGCAGTGAGCCGGACACCCCCCAGAGACGTGGGGGGAAGGGTGTGGGGCGATGCGGTGCTTGTGGGGTGTGTGATTGTGTGTGGGGGACGGTGTAGCTGTGGGAGTGTACATGGGAGTCCCCACGTGTGCCCCACCGAGCCAGTCAGTACCTGCCCCACGACAGCCTGGAGCCCGTGTGCCCTGCAGCGCCGCCGCACCACCGCCAGCAGCGCACAGCCCCAGCCTGCCCCAGACTCACCCCCGCTGGAGCGGCTCAGCAGGAACCCTGGGTACAGCTCTGACCCAGCCTCCCCTGCCCCTCACCTGCTCCACACCAGCTGCCCATGGTATCTCCTGGGCATGCAGCAGGGCTGCCTTTCTAGGCAGCGCAGGCAGCAGCAGATCCTTCTGGCTGCCACTGCTGCTGGCCCCAGACTCTCCCATCCAGGCCCAGCAGCAGTGGCAGCGCGAGGCGGAAGCTGTTGCTCAGTGGAGGGGGAAAAGCAGCCCCCCTCTCCCTCGCCAGCATCAAGCTGTTCCTGCTGCAGCCGCCCAAAGCCTGAGCCACACCAGGTTGCCCTGCATCTGCTCTGCAGTGCCACCACTTCCCTGGTGGGCAGCCAGGGACAGGGCAGCCCAGTGCGGTACAGGCTCTGGGCAGCTGCAGCAGAAAGCCTGGCGGTGGCGATGGGGAGGGGCTGCTTCCCCCTGCACTGAGCAATAGCTTCTGTCTGGTGCCACCACTGCAGCTGAGCCTGGATGGGAGAGTCTGGAGCAGGTGTGGGGTGTGCCAGGTCAGGGCTGTGCAGCATGGGTCCTCACCAGTACCGTGGGGCTGAGGCCAGTGGCAGCAGCAGCTGGAAGGAGCTGTCACCACCTGGACTGTGCCTGGGCCAGGCGGGACCAAGGGACTCGTTGCGGGCTGGACAAAGACCCACTGCAGGTGACTTCCAGCGCATGGGCTGTATTTTTTCCACCCCTGCACTAAGATCTTACAGTATAATACCTCTATCCTCCTCCTGACAAAGTCTGAATTTTGACACCCTGAAAAAAAAAAAAATGCCTCCAGCCAGTCAGGAGAAAAACAATACGAGCAGAGAAAGGGGATGTACTGGGGCAGAAAGGGGAAAATGAGAAGCACCAAGAGCCCCAAATGTCAGGGGAGAAAAGAATGGGGGAACAGTGCGCAGGCATGCATGGGCAAGAACCAGGAGGGGTGCACAGACATCCTGCATAAGGGTGAGGGTGAAGGGTCAAACTAGAGGGGTACTGAAGACAAAGAGCCCCTGGTTGGTGCCCTGAACTTGATCTACAAAAGAAGCATTAGCCTTCCCCTGGTTATTTTATATCTAAACACGCAGTCTACACCACCGTGTAACATAGATGAAGTTCAATTCAGCCCAGTAATGACCTGGTCCCTAGCTGTTGACAGTTTCTGTATTAGATCCTCTGATTTCTGATAATGATTCCTTTCAGCGTTCTCACAGCGCCGCTGCCAGTCCAGTTCTGCTTGTACTCTAGCTTGCTCCAGAATCTGTTCTCGTTCTGCTGCCAGAGACAACTGCTGTTTGTACCTATGATACAGAGGTGCAAGGGGAATTTTTGTTTCAGTTTCCTGAACTTCTATTTCACACGCTAAGACACCATGAAGTAGAGAAAGAAACATGGCATGTCCAATGCTTGAAGCTCTGGGAGGTTTGACTATGTGGAAACATGGATCAAACTAAGGTGAGTTTACAAGAGTAGGACTTACTGCAGAAGAGCCAAAAGCAGTAACTCTTCACATGCTCATGTGACCATTGCCCACAGTAAGTGAAAGCTAAACTGGAGCATTTTGGCCCTGTTTTATACAGGCCTGGTTTTGTTCAGGAATAAGCTGCCCCAGTTTCACTTTCATGGATTGTAGGCACACAGCTACCATGTACCAGCTGTTTTGTGGCAAGTCTCTACTCCCATTAATTTGGTTTCACGTGATTGCTTAGCCATGCCCTAAATCACTGAAATATACAGTTCAAAAGATAACCAACCAACTTCTGAATGCCAGAGAGACTGAAGACAACTTGAGGAGTAGCAACTTTTGTATTATATACTGATTTAGCTAATTATGGACCTGAAGGTAAAGGACAAATCTAGAAGTACATGTAAATTAAATCCCTTTATGAACTGAGGAAGTAATATGCAAGTAGTAGTTGGACAAAAAAACCCAGCTCATTCCATAAAGAAAACTGACGAATATAGCAGTAGTAAGTTCACAACAAAACCCACATTAAGAGAATAAACAAAATGAAGCAAAAAAAAAAAAAGAAAGTACCTACAAGGAAAAAGAAAAGGTATTGGAAGGGACAAGAAAAGGGAGGGGGGAAAGGAAGGAACTACCGGATGGCCAAAACACAATGAACAGTGATGTTTCTTCAGATCGGAGTATTAAGAGAAAAGGAACACAAGACACTCTTTAAATTGAGTATCACTGGTGCTTGGGTAAATGGGAGACAGAAAAAGAATCAAAACTAAATTTGAGATTTTCAAAAGCACTTATCCGCGGTTTGGAACCTCCTACTGACTTAACTGGGATCAAAGACAAAAGATATCACTGGGCACATCTACACGTGCATTAATGCGCTTTAGATAATGTGCATTAAATCTAGTACCTCACAGCACTTTTACACATGCTCTGGGGGTAGTGGTAGTGGGGAGGGGCTGGCATTTTAATTAGAGCAGCTCTCAGAGCCACTGTAATTAAAGTGCTGCCATGTCTCATGTATGGGCATCCCTTGTGCTTAAAAATGGCGGTGGGGAAATTTGAACTAAAGCTCGTTCAATGAGCTTTAGTTCAATCACCTCCACCATCATTTTTAAACACAGAGACGCTGATACACGAGACGCATGAGGCTACCGGAGTGCGGTAATTGCCATGTTCCAGCAGACTCGATTAATCAAATCTGCTCCGACGTGCTGGAATTCCAGTGTGTTGGAGTGGCTTCCGCGCTTGTCTATTGGCAATCTCTATTGTGAGGTACTAGGACATGTGCATTACCCTATTTTAACATGTATAAACTGAAGAACAAAGTTTTTAAGTGACACAATGCGGATTAGCCTATTTTAATGCACGTTAGCAGAAGTATACTTTTTCTAGTGATGCTTTAATGTGCATTAATGCACATGTGTAGATGATAGGGCTGTGCAAAGGTTTGGTCCCCGATTCAATTCAGTGGAGATTTGGCCCAATTTGGTGGATGAATCCCCAAATCTGAATCGAATCAGAGGATCCTTTAATCTCTCTGAATCAAATCGGAACCCTCTGAATCGATTCAGAGAGATTTGGAAAGATTCAGTGATCTGGACATAGACACAGCTTTAAATGTTTTTTCTACATACCTCTAGGTACCAGGTGGCTTGTGAATGCTGTGATGCTGGGGTGCATGGAGCGTCCCAGAGGAGCGCAGGGGGCTCCCCAGTGAGCTTGGCAGCAGACCCGGAAGTGCTTCTGGTCCACTTACGGGTGTGCAGGGGAGTGCACTGGGGGAACCCCCCTTGCCTCCCCAGCTTGGCATCTGGTGCCTCCTGGGTCTGGGGAGGGCACCCAGGGTCCCCCCGCAACCAATTGCTGAGCTGGTGGGGCATTGGGGGGGTGTCTGTGTCCGAATCGCTGATTCTCCAAATCAGCATCAGATCTTCAGATTCGGATTCAGCTGAATCCAATCAGGGACAGTGATTCAAATCAGTGAATCAAATCACTGACCCTGATTCGGGCCGAATCCAAATCCAAATCGAATAGGGCCCGCTTTGCACACCCCTAGTGGATGCACCCACTGAGAACTTTCAAAAATCTTCATTCTAAATGTTTATCCTAACCAAGAACTATAAGTGGCTCAATGGTTTAGCAGGTTCTTAAAACCCTTTACCTGTCTATATCCTGCTGGAATCTGGCCAACTGTGCTCTCAGTTTCACATCTTCTTCACACAATGACTGTATTTGGAGGTCTTTAGAAACCGTTTCCTTGAAGACCTGAGACAAATGAGAATCTTGCCTTGTTTTTACTGTTACTAGCTCCTCTTGAAGCCTGTGCAAAAAAATACAAAATATTCATTGGTTTAAAAATCTTTCTTTTAAGAGGGCAGGCAAACAAATCATGTGGTATTGTCCTGTAAAGAGTTTTGTTCAGGGATAATTTTTTATTTTTTATTTTTTTAAATAAATCACAAAATGTTCTACTTCTCAGAGTCAGAAACGCATGTTTTCTAACTGTGTATTACTGTAGAAAATGCAGATACTTCAGACAAACAGGCTTTCTTCTACTCTAGCCAGGCTCTAGCAGGTTCCCTAGTTAAGTTACTGTCTCCCTGAGCTATCTTGACTATTGTTTTCTTACTGTCAGTTTTCATACCCAGTAAAAATGAAGCTAGTGTCCATATACGATCATAGGAAAGCAGGGCTACAAGGTCATCTAGTCCAGCCGCCTGCTCAGGGCAGGTTCAGTCCTGACTAAGTCATCCCAGCCAAGTCTGTCTAATCTGCTCTTGAAAGCTTCCAAGCATTGAGATTCCACAACTGCTCTAGGTAGCCTGTTCCAATATTTGACCACCCAGAGTCAGAGAGTTCCTTCTAATCTGCAACCTAAATTTTCCCCTGCTGCACATTGAGGCTGGTGCTCCTAGTCCTATCCCCTATGACCACAGAGAAAACCCCATCTCCATCCTCTCGATAATTGTCCTTCAGGTAGTTGAAGGCTGTAATCAAATCCCTCCTCAGTCTTCTCTTCTCTGCTGTACAATGTGTTTATTAATTATTTGGATGCTGGAATTAAGAGTTCTTGAGCAAGTTTTGGAGAGGAGATAAGGTTGGGAGGCACTGCAAATATGTGGACAGGAGCACAGTACAGAAGGATCTTGACAGATTAGAAAGGTGGGCTGGAGCTAACAGGATGAAGTTCAATGCTGACATATGCAAGGTGCTGCACCTCAGGAAGAAGAATCAAAAATACAAATATAAAATGGGTGACACCTGGCTGGATGGCAGCACTACAGAGGAGGATCTGCGAGTCTTGGTAGATCACAGACTCAATACGAGTCTGCACGGTGATGCAGTTGCACAACGGGTGAATGCGGTTTTGGAATGATCAAAAGAAGCATTAGGTGCAAGGTGCGAGACATGATAGCGCCTCTTTAGTCAGCACTGGGTAGGCCTCATTCAGAGCCCTGCGTGCAGTTTTGGATTCCACATTTTAAAGAACATGGAGAAGTGAGAGAAGGCCCAGAAGTGGGCAACAGAAGTGACAGCAGGCTTGGAAGGCAAGTCATACGAGGAGAGGTTGAAGGAAATAGGTAGGTTCAAACTTGCAGAAAAGGCACTTCAGAGGGGACATGATAGCAATCTTCAAACATCTGAAGGGCTGCCAAAAAGAAGAGGGAAAACACCTTTTCTCTTTTGCTGCAGAGTAGGACATGAACCAAAGGCATGAAGTTGCAGCAAAGTAGGTTTATATTAAATATCAGGAAAAACTTCTTCACTATTAGAACAGTGAGGCAGTGGCATAGACTGCCTAGGGAAGCTGTGGAATCTCTATCATTGGAAGCATTCAAGAAGCTATGTTTATGTTCTACGATGGGCATTTCCCAGACTTCTGAGCTTTGCCACATGGGGCTGGAAGGGAACTTTTTTCTCCTCTGGTTGCTACATGTCTGGGTTTTTTTCAAAGCCTTCCTCAGAAGTACTGGGTGTTGGCTGCGGCCACAGCAGATGATTCTGACTGCAGTGTACCAATGCTCCTGCTGGGACTTGAACCCAAAAGTTCCTGGCCAGTGGGTCTTACTTCTCCACTCAGGGTCAGACCGATTGCTATATCTGGGGTCAGGAAGGAATTCTACCCCATGGTCAGATTGGTATGGACTTTTGCCCTCCTCTACAGCATGGTTCATGGGCCTCTTCCTTGGATCACTCAAGCATATTTTAACAACCTTGGCAGCAGCAGGATGGTTTCCCTGCTTTATCTGCGGCAGATTAGGGCGTTACGTCTTGTGATTGTATAAGGATTAACGGTATAGTTTTTCTCATAGGTTGTTACGCAATAGATTTCTAGAGGATGGCTTGGATAGGGATGATTCTGCCTCCGGCTAAGGGTTGAACTAGATGACCCCTGGAGGTCCTATCCAGCTCTCCTTCTCTAGGACTCTATAATCAAAAGCCTAAAAGGAAAAGGAGTCCAATTCCTTTCACCCAAGCAATCAGGTATTCTGTCAAAAGAGGAAATCAAGTTGGTTTGGCATGTTTTGTTCTTAACAAATCCATATTGCTCGCTACTGATCACCAGGGATCCAGGTTTCCATTTCCCTTAGAAAAACATGGGGTTTTCCCCCTTAGAGGAGAAAAATGTGGGTTTTCCCTTTTAACGAAAAAAACCGAAGGTATCCCCTTGCAGGCTGGCAGAGTTCCAGCCTGCAACCAGCTGCTTGGGGCAGGGG